ACTGCTGAGGCTGTGGACTCAAGAATCAGTGTCTTAGCCACAGACAGGAAGCTGCCAAATATGGTGGCTGTCACCACCACCATTACTCAGCACACCTGTGGGTGGTAGGCTAGATACTAGAGACCACTGCTTTTGCCTAAAAACAAACAAGCACTACCACACGCTTCCAGAAGAGCCACATGGCTTCTACTTCAGGATGTGCGTTTTCTCCTTCAAGGTCCTACAAAGGTACATCAGCGTGGTGACTGCTGTGTCAGAAGTAGAAACTCAAGCTTCAAGATATAGTTTAGCCCTTTAACCTCAAGTGTACAGGAAGCCACGCTAGAAGCAATTTAGAGTTCTATGGTATTTGCCATATAGAGCCTCAGGTAGATGTTAGTCTAACATCTTGCCTTTGTACTTGATATTGAGTATATGCATTTCTGGGAAAGAGCAACAAGCCAAAACTCTGTTGTGTTTGTGTTGGAAGCTAAAAGTTATTATTCCCAGGAAATATGTCTCACCGAGCTGCAACTTTATTGAATACCTGTTCTAGAAATTTCACTGTAGTGAGAACAAAAATAGTCGTGAATTTTAGCTTATATTACTTCCAGAAATAGTTTAGAAATAATTTAGATAGTTAAATACTGTAACCATCAAATGGTTCCAAGTTCTTATTCCTACCCACAACCAGAATTTTTCATTCCTTTCCAATAATGCAAGAATTTTTTTTTTTTTTTTTTTTTTTTTTTTTTTTTTTTTTTTTTTTTTTTTTTTTTTTTTTTTTTTTTTTTTTTGCCAAATAACTAAGCAGTAATAAGAGCATTGAGGATTGCAAAAGCATTCTTTTCATTAAATCATTTCAGGCAAAGGAACCTCTTATTCCCAAAGCAGCAAATAGTAATAATGAGTAAAAAGAAATGATGGAATATATAATCAAAATTTAAATTATCCTCTGTATCACTCAGCTATTGCTGAGTTATCAAAAGCTACAATATCTCAGTGACATACAGCAATAATGATTTATTTCTCACACACCTGAGGGTCAGGTGGAGCAGCTCTGATGATGTTGGTGGGGTGGCTCTAAGCTGTAGTTTGGGTCCAGGTCTTTTCCACAAGGTTCTCATCTTCAGTGGACCATCAGGCTATCCAGGTTATGCACGTTAAAGCACAAATGGCAAAGGCACAAGAGAATGAGCAGAAACAGCAGTTACTCTTAAGGCCTAAGGTTGGCACACTTTCATTTCAGCGTACATTTTATTGACCAAAGAGAATCACATGTTCAAGTCCAAAGAGAAGGGGTGGGAAAGTATAACTTCTTTTTGTGGAAGGAACTGTCAAGTTACATTGCAAAGAACATTGACACAGGAAATGGGTGCTGAGGAATTGGGGCCTAAATTGAAGTCTTAATTATCAAAATATTTAGAGGAAATTCTGTGGTACTCCAGGGCTTCTGTTTCTTTCATTTGTGACTAATAAATTATCATTAAGCCTAGCCTTTGTTTATATACTAGGATAAGGTTTAATTAATCTCCATAATTGAGATATGTAAATGAAATAGACTTCCTGGCTGAGAAGATAAGAGAGGGGAGGAGGATGCTACCAGGTAGCTCCTCCCCCCAATTTGGTGAGAGTTGTAAACATTTCAGTGTTGTCATAGATTTCTTTATATTATTAAAAAGCAATTTAAAAAAATCTTGTCTCATAAATACAGTGTTTACTCATGGAATCAGTCTAGGTTTGCATAAACTACTTGTTAGACCCATGACTAATTTTAAAAAACCTATGATAATAGATAGGTTTTATTGATAAAAGTGGCAACTGAATTTATATGATTTTTGACTTTTTCTTCATAAAGAAGATGAATAAGAATATGGTCTAATATACTCAATTTAATATTACTGGAGACTAGTAAGGAATATGAAATAGTAATCTTCAAATTTGGTTTTGAATGAAATAAGATTTTTTATCGATATATAATTGATGTATAAGTTTGTGTCAGTTTTAGGTATACAGCATAATGATGCAAAACTTGTGTATATTGCAAAATGATCACCACAGTAACTCTAGTTAACACTTATCATCACACATAGTTACAAATGTTTTTTTTCTTGTGATAAGAACTTTTAAGATCTATTCTCTTAAAAACTTTCAAGTATACAATACAGTATTAACTATAGTTGCCAAGCCGTACATTATCCCCAGGACTTACTTATTTTGTAACTGGAAGTTTGTACCTTTTGACCACCTTCACCCATTTTGCCCTCTGTCCCCCAACTCCTCACCTCTGGCAACCACCAGTCTTTTCTCTGAATCTGTAAGTTCAGGCTTTTTTTTTTTTTTTTTTTTTTTTTTTTTTTTTTTTTTTTTTTTTTTTTTTTTTTTTTTTTTTTTTTTTTGGTTCCTTTTTTAGTTTCTACATATAAATGAAATCATATGGTATTTATCTTTCTTTGTCTGACTTATCTCACTTGGCATAGTGCCGTCAAGGTCCATCCACGTTGTTGCAAATGGCGATATTTCGTCATTTTTTTGTGGCTGAATAATATTCTGTGTGTGTGTGTGTGTGTGTGTGTGTGTGTGTGTGTGTGTGTGTCTTGTTTTTAATCCATTCATCCATCTATTCATGGACACTTAGGTTGCTTCCATGTCTTGGCTCTTGTAAATAACACTGCAGTGAACATGGCATACAGGTATCTTTTCTATTTAGTGTTAAGATTATTTTTCACAGTGTCTCAGAAGAAAAGGTAGGATAAATAACTTTTTAGAATGCAGAAGTGACTAACAGTAAATTCTATTCTTAGGAAGCTATTCACTCTAATATCCTGCTCATAATAGAAAACAATAATATAGAAACAGCACTTTACAGAAGACTGTAAGAAAATATACCAAAATTATAGCTGTTGGTATTATGACTTTTTTTCTTCCTCACAATAATTTTAATTACAACAGCTAATGTTAAGCTATTGTTAAAAACTGGCACAATCCTGGGGCGCCTGAGTGGCTAGGTTGGTTGAGTCTCCAACTCTTGATTTCAGCTCAGGTCATGATCACAGTTTGAGCCCTGCATCGGGCTCTGCACTGACAGTGTGGAGCTTGCTTGGGATTCTCTCTCTCCCCCCTGCTCGCTCTCTCTCTCTCTCTCTCTCTCTCTCTCAAAAGCAAATAAATAAACATTAAGAAAATTTGCACAATCCTAAGTACTTTAGATGTATTGTTTGATTTAATTTGTAAACAACCTGATGAGGTAGAAATTCTTTCTTTCTTCCTTTTTCTTTTTTCCCTCCCTCCCTGATTTTTTTTCTTTCTGTTGAGGTATAGTTGGCACACAGTGTTACATTAGTTTTAGGTGTACAACATAGTGATTCATCAACTAGACTGTGCTGTGTGCTCACCACAGGTGTAGCTAACATCTGTCACCATACAACACTATTACGATACCATTGACTATAATTCCTATGTGGTACCTTTCATCCCTGATTTATTCATTTCATAGCTGCGATCCTCTACCCCCAGTCCCCTTCACCCATTTTGTCCCTCCCTCCTCCCCTCTGGCAACCATTACTTTGTTCTCTGTATTTGTGGGTCTCTTCCTGCTTTTTTGTTTGTTCATTTGTTTTGTTTTTTCAATTCCACATATAAATGAAATCGTATGGTATTTGTCTTTCTGTGTCTGACTTACTTCACTCAGCATAATACCCTCTAAGTCCATCCAGGTCATAAAGGGAAAAACCTCATTTTTTTTATGGCTGAGAATTACTCCTTTGTATATTTATTACCACATCATCTTTAAGGTAGAACTTACCATCTTTATTTTACAGATGAGGAAGCGAGTGCAGCAAATAGGTTCATATGCTGCAAGTGATCTGTAATTCACATGTACAGTATTTTTAAAATGGAAATAAAATGGTAATAACCTTTTAAAGCAAGAAAATTGTACCATCTTTAGAGCAACAATTTGTAAACAACCTGACCTATACCATTTGTAAAGCTTTTTCTCCAGGACTGTACTGTGCTGTATTATTGGAAAGACTGAGTTCCAGGGCCTTCCTTGGGCAAGTCCTTTAATATCTCTGAGCCTCTGTTTTCTCATGTGAAATAACTCTAATTACTTGCCTTACTTCTTAAAATTGTTGAGGGGATCATATGAAATATGTGAAAACAACTTGTAAGTCAAAGTACCATATAATATTAGGCAGTGATTTATTACTTTAAGTCAAGATAAAAAATTTGCAACTAGAGGGGCACCTGGGTGGCTCGGTCAGTTGAGCGTCGATCTCTGCTCAGGTCATGATCTCGTGGTTCGTGAGTTTGAGCCCCACATCAGGCTGTCTGCTGTCAGTGCCGAGCCCACTTGGGATCCTCTGTTTCCCTCTGTCTCTGCCCTTCCCTTGCTCGCGCATGCGTGCTCCTTTCCTCTCTCTCAAAAAATACATAAACATAAAAAAATTTGCAGCTAGAGAATTATAATTAGATGTTTCCTAGATAACACATGACACATTCATAGTCAAAACATTAACATAAAAATATTGAAAGCTAGTACTTATTTAGAAAATCAAGCTATGGTATAAATATGGCCTTGAGTTCAATTTTTACTCAGTGGTACATGAATTGGGAGTGTTGTGACTAAAGCCAACTCTGCATTCTAAGACACATTTAATACAAATAATGTTTAGTAAATGATATCTTTATTTAAATGACATTTTGCACTATCATTTATTAGTAATCTCATAAATGTCTGTAGAGTTAGGATTTTAATATTAAATAATATTTAAGAAAGGGAAAGACTTGTTTGTTCACTGCTCATCCCCATTGCCTAGAATATTGAGAAATAAGTATTTGTTGAAAGATTGAATGAAAGAATACTCCAATAATTAGAGAAGAGAATTTAAGAACAAGTATAATACAGGATACACAAAAATGTTAAGCACAAATACTTGTAATATGTGTAATATTCTGAAATTTCATTGGCTCACAAATGTTTGGCAGATTTAACATTTCTTTTTATTTGCCTTACTTAGGGACGTGCTGCCTTAACACAAGAGAAGAAGGAATTTGCCCATGAACATGAAGAAATGAAGAACCTAGAAGCCATTGTTCAAGAAATAAAACCAACTGCCCTCATAGGTAAACTTCTCCCTCTTTCCCATAAACCCAACCCAACCCCATTTTGGCCTGATTCATTTTCTTAATTGATTTTTGAGGCATAATTTAGCTTTTTGAAATTTTGACCTTTGGAATTCACAAACAAAATTACACATTCACTGAATCAACAGTACCCCATGGACACTTAGATTTGTAAATTTCGTACTGTGTTCTCAGTCCTATCAGCTGAAGTGTGTAGCCCCCTGTGCTAACTCTGTCAACCTGTCCATCCTTGGCAGATTCAGCACTTTCCCAGGCTTGATTGCTCCAGATACACACTGGTTCTCAAATGGGAGTGACTTTGCCCCCAAAGAAACATTTGGCAATGTCTGGAGATGTTTTTCGTTATTACAACTTTGGAAAGGGTTGGGGGAGGGGTGGTCAGGGCCACTGACATCTAGTGGGTAGAGACTGGAGATGGTATTCAACACCCTACAGTGCACAGGAAAGCACCCCTTCCCCCCCACACAAAGAATTATCCAACCCACAATGTTAATATCCCAGAGGTTGAGAAATACTGCACTAACTACTAGACCCTCCCTGAAGACAGGGAGACCACATCTATACTCCTCATAGCACTTAACACAGTGCTTACACAGTGCGTGTGCACATATGATGTTTAATATAGCCAAATTTAATGTGGTTAAAAAAAACTCAGAGGAGGGTATGAAACTTCGTACCTTATTTTGTGTGTATAGAATGTCAGTTCTTACTTTGTATCATAATCCACTCCTGGAAGTTCTTGTAAACATGACAGTATTGAGAACAATGATGATAATCGTAACAAAAACAAATACTCCATCGCAGAAACTGTAATAAGTCTTGTTTTTGACAAAATACATTGTATCAGGATTTTTCTCCATTTCCATCATGCTAATTGCTTTATCCTTTGTCAGGAGTCTTTCAGTGAGTGATACTGTTTTACAATTGAATTGGATGGTTGTCTTAAGTGTTAGCACTGGTTTATAAAAAATAATTACTTTATAACCTGAGAGACTAGAATATACTCCTAGAATTATTTATAGAGAGATAATATATATTAGGTACATTTTAATTTCCTGATATCAGTGTCTGTCATCAAAATACCTAGTGATTTGATCACTGACTCGGTGTATTATGAGCCAAATGTTAGATCTGTGTTGTTTTGTATAGATACTTGGAGATTTGTAACGCTAAAGGTTGTTGGCATTAACAAACGTATCTCTTTCTGTCACTGTTAATGCAGATCTTCTATATTTTGTTTAGGGTCTATCAGAAAGTGACCTGACCTGTCTCATTGTCTTGAGGGCATGGACGTCTTACCTCACTAACCGCTGATAGTCTATTCACTGGTTTCTCATTTCTACATCAGGAGTTGCTGCGATTGGTGGTGCATTCTCAGAACAAATTCTCAAGGACATGGCTGCCTTCAATGACCGACCTATTATTTTTGCATTGAGTAATCCAACTAGCAAAGCAGAATGTACTGCAGAGCAGTGCTATAAACTAACCAAGGTAAAGCAAAAGTGTAACTTCTCTCCCCACCCTCTCCAGTCCCCAGCTCTGCCAGTGCTGACACAGGGTCTGATATTTTAATACTCTAATTCTTAATCATTATGGAGGAACCAAGGATATGTAAGATTCTTACTACTTAATTTAAAAGTTAAACCAAGATTGAAAAAAAAGTGAATGGGGTGCCTGGGTGGCTCAGTCGGTTGGGCATCCGACTTCGGCTCAGATCATGATCTCGTAACCGTGAGTTCGAGCCTGGCCAGCCGGGCTCTGCCGCGACAAGCTCAGAGCCTGGAGCCTGTTCAGTCGTGTGTTCCCTCTCTCGCCTTTCCCCTCATTCATGCTTCTGTTCTGTCTCAAAAATGAATAAACATTAAAAAAAAGAAAAAAAAAAAAAGAAAAAAAGAAAGAAAAGTGATTTAAAAGTTGGAGTGGGCTGTAGTCGCGGTTAAGCGTCCGACTTCAGCCAGGTCTGATCTCACGGTCCTGAGTTTAGCAGCCAGCATGCGGGTTCAGACTGGCTGATGGCTCAGAGCCGGCAGCCTGGCTCGATTCTGTGTCTCCCTCTCTGCCCTCCCCATGTCATGTCATCTCTCTGTCCCAAAATAAATAAACGTTGAAAAAAAAAAAAATTTAAAAAAAAAAAAAAGAAAGAAAAGTGAATAGGTCAGAGGGGTTTAGAACTGTTTCTTCTTCTAGAATGTTGTTGTGTAAATCCTCCTCTTCAGTAAAACAAACTTTGTAAAGTTTATTGATAATTTTTTCAAGTGATTTGGAAGCATTTAACACTTAAATATAAAAGCTAAAAAGGAAAAATTTTGATGCTAGATGCTTATTAAAATAACTTTTAACTAGCTATTTCTGAACGTTGAAGCATACCGTATAAAACCTCAGTCTTATTTTTGTTTTGCTAAATCCTGGGTTTGGATTTTGATGCCATGGGTGGTACATTTGGGCAGCTATTTTGACATCTAGCCAGTTTGGGATAGAAGTCCTTAAAGCTTCAACACTTTACTGTTTCCAAAAAAGTGGCTTATTTTATACTGTGTTTGTATTAACATATATTTGACTGATAGGTTGACAATAGCCTTTTTTTCCTTCAAAGACTTGAAAATGTCATTATAACGAAACAGAGGTTGAATCATATATATCTAACACTTTTATTTTGGAAAGAAATCCAAAATGCACTAGAAAAGGCAAACATGACACAAAGTTAGGTCACTCTGCACAAATCAGAAATTGATGGCTCTACTTCCTTAATATTATAACCTTAAATGCTCATTACTAGAATTAATGAAATGTTGGCAAGGAGCCACTCCATTGTCTATGTCTCTTAATTTGGGATGGCATCAATCTCCTCAATAATTTTAATTTTCAGCCCATCTGCAGATTGGGAAATTTGCCGGACATCCCTCAGTAGTCCTTAAATTTTTAAAAGGGGAAGAAAAAAAAAACCCCTTTGAGCAATAAAATTGTAGCATGGTGCACAAATAATAAAATTTTAGCACAGTAGACAAATAACAAGTAAGTGGTTTTGTAGTTATTTTGTCATATATCTCAACAGGTGTCAAGAGTTTATAGACTCACCAGTAATAGAAATAAACACAATTAGCCAAATTTGTATAATTGTGTTATTAAATTAAAAAAAATTTTTTTAATGTTTATTTATTTTTGAGAGAGACACAGCATGAGTGGGGGAGGGGCATAGAGAGAGGGAGACACAGAATCCTAAGCAGGCTCCAGGCTCTGAGCTGTCAATACAGAGCCCAATGCGGGGCTCGAACCCACAAACCATGAGATCATGACCTGAGCTGAAGTTGGACACTTAACCAACTGAGCCACCCAGGTGCCCCATAATTGTGTTTTTAAATTTGAATGTGTCTGATATAAATGACCTAAACTCTTTCTTAATCATCTTGCATGATGTTCTATGTTGTTTAAAAAAAAAAAAAAAGGGCATAAAATTGAAAGTCATTTTGAGGCTGAAAACTTAAACACTGGTTTAGCTAAAGGATACAGAACAGGCAAAGGTCTGTCTGTGCTGGATGAGTCTCTGCTGCTTTAGGCACAAGGGAAAGGTTGTCAGGAAAGGTTAAAAATAGAAATACAGGAAGATTATTGAAGCATGAAAAACTATAATCCAGAAATAGTATGAAGAGATTTTCTTCTCCATATTAACACTCCGTGTACACGAAAATATTTAGCTGTCATTTATTGAATGCTGTTCTCCTTAAAATATGATGATTATAAAATAGTAGGTAGGAAGTGAAAGCAGGGAGGGAGATAAATGAGCTTATATATCATGTTGCAGGTCTTTTTCTTAAATATATGTGTGTATACATATATGTATATCTATAAAATAATTAAGTTACGTTAGAAAGTTGCTTGTAGGGATGCCTGGGTGGCTCAGTTGGTTAAGCCTCTGACTTTGGTTCAGGTCATGATATCGAGGTTTGTGAGTTTGAACCCCAAGTTAGGCTCTGTGCTGACAGTTCAGATACTGGAGCCTGCTTCAGATTCTGTCTCTCTCTCTGTTCCTCCCTGGCTTGTGCTCTCTCTTTCTCTCTCTCTCAAAAATAAATGTTTTTAAAAAATTAAAGAAAACTGTGTAGATCCCTAAACTCTAACCTAAAATGTCATACTTTCCAATACTCTAATGTTAACCTATCATTTTTTTCAGCTTCAGAAGTCTGTAATCTGAACCCCATATAGAAATGGTTGATAGGCTTCTGGGTTGGACCACTGCAGCGAATAGAGTGGTGGTCTTGGGTTTCCTGTGCTTTACACACTTCTCTGAGGAGTAGAGAGGGAGGCAGAGAGTAGTAGTAATCACCCACTCCAGAACTTACTGCCAACATCATAAAAGCTTGCCCAGACTTATTAGAGGGTTAATGAAAATTAGTCTTCTTCCTAAATGCTCAGTACTCTAACTGTGGGGTAGTTCTGTTATGATACATTTCTTTTAAAATACCGTGCTTCTTTTTAAAGTTAGTTGTGTGTCTGTGTTGTAGGGGCGTGCAATTTTTGCCAGCGGCAGTCCTTTTGATCCAGTCACTCTTCCAGATGGACGGACCCTATATCCTGGCCAAGGAAACAATTCCTATGTGTTTCCTGGAATCGCTCTTGGTGTTGTGGCTTGTGGACTGAGACATATCACAGATGAGATTTTTCTCACAACTGCTGAGGTATTGTAAACTCTGTGTTCACCAAGGCTGTAAAACACCAGATGAGCTCCATGTGGGTTAATGATTTATTTATTTATATAGCATCTCAGCTCACTCCCTATAAGGTACAAAGTCCGAAGAAGAAAAAAATCTCTCCTAGTGGAGAATAAGGGGTCGGTAGCAGGTTCACATTGGAGTCACGAGTAAAAGACTATTTTTCAGTAGCCAGTAAAAAAACTGTTGTGATCTCTTACAAGGAACTCATTTTCGTCTTCATACTTCCAATCAAATTCTGTGACAGTAGTGACACAATTGAAAATACTGTTTCCAAATCATAATGCAGTGACCAATGTTTCTCCAAACTTTCCTAAATAACAGCATTTTGAAGGTTTAAAATGAAAGTCTGATTTGGAATAGTGAAGAAGTGTGTATTCATTGAGGGTACAGGGCAGAAAACAGAAACTACTCTAATATTTTAAGCAGAAAGAAAATTATAACAGGGAATTAGTGTTTTTGAACTCATTAAAAGGACACATGTGGGTTTGAGTGTGGGCCTTCAGGAAAGATTCTCCGAACATCACGTAACAGACCCAGTAGGGACTGGTGAGCTGTTCTTAAGAAGTGAAGGATCTGAAACCTTACCTTAGTTGCAAGCTAATGAGTTAGCCTGCCACAGTTTCATGGATGCTGGCAAAAGACCCAAAACTCTTAGGTCAGAGACAAAGACTTTATTACTTATGGCACAAGACGTACCATAAACTTCAGGTTCCCATCAGTTCCCTTTCCTTCCCACACACACTTCAGGGGGACGATACAGTGATTTGGCACATATTTGTAAAATCGTGAGCTTTTGATAATCAGAATGTTCATCTGGTTGATACCTTGTTTGAGCAGGATGCAGTTCACGGATGAGAGATTTGAGTGAATTTCTTCTAAAATGAGACCACTGTACAACGTGGTAACTGAACTGAACCAAATAAAAGTTGATTAAAATTCAGATATTTTCAGCGTGCGAACATACTGTGCTTTCTGTTTTGAAGAGGAACTTGGAGAATATAGATGGAGTCTTCTGTTATTGTTGTGGTCTAAGGAGTATAATCCCAGTGTTTAGCGCCTGGCATCATTCTGTGAGAACAGATAGCGAAGCTGTAATGTCCTGCTCTTTTCTTTGTCTTCCCTGCAGTAGAAGCATCGCAGCTGGTGTCCCAGAGTTTCTTTATCTCCTAAAATCTTGTTATACATAAGTAGATATCTGCTCACTAAGAGAGCTTATCAAAGCTGTTCACACATTAAGAAAAATATAATTATTGTTCTACATAACAGACACATCAAGGGGGGGGGGGAGATGTTCTACTCAATGTAGCCCATGTTTGCTTTCCTAAATAACTCCAGCACCATCTAGTGACAAACTCCATGAAAAAAAAAATCCTTCCATTTACCATCCAGGCAAAGTAATAAATACTATCAAAAAACTTTGAAGAAAAAAGAAAATGTAATGTCAGCAGTGCCCTTCTTGTAGCTAGTGATCTCTCTGGCTACCTCTTCTGGCCTTTCCACTGGTTTTCTCTTAGGCTTCAACACAACAGTCTTGTTTTTCACACCACCTCATTGTTTACTTTGTCTTCTTTCCATGTCCCTTTTAACTAAGAGCTTTTTTCTAGCATTGATTTTGTTGTTGTTGTAACTTTTTCCCCTTTTTTCTTATGCTTTCAGAGATTTCATCCATTCTCTGGGTTCCATTATCTTAAGTCTAAAAGTGGCCAAATCTGTGTCTCTAGTCTCATCTTGTAACGTGTCTCCAGTTGCTTTTTCTTAAACACAAAATGCATAAAACCATACTTTTCACCTTCCTTCACCCTCAGTATTTGCACTGCATTTAGTGATAACTCCTTTCTAAGTAGACACCAAAGCTTAGAAGCCTGTCATTCTTTCATTCTCCCTCATCCCAAAGCTTCAAACACAACATGCAGGCACACACCTGTATAACTGCTCTATTATCCTGCCTGGAAAACTCTGAGAACTATTCACCTATCTAAGCCTCTCCTTCTGTTAACTTCACTCCCCACCTCATGCTTGAATCCTTTGGTGACTACCATGGCTCATCTTGAGAAAATTAGGCTTAGGAAGGTTAATTAATTTGCCTAAATTCAACCAAATAGTAATTATTGCAGTTAGAATTTGAATATAGACCTACCTCACATCACAGCCCGAGCTTTCAACCACCACGCTGTTACAACAAAGAGGATTCTGGCTTTCCTGGTACCCTCACAACCTTCTGAACCTCTGCTAAGAGCACTTAGTGCTCCCTTGAGTCAGCCCTCCTGGGAACATACTCCTCGCCTCCTGTCCACATCTGAGAGGTGTGTCTGGCTGCCTGTCCTTATCCCATTCCTCCTGAACCACCTGCTCTGTGTTCTCTCATCTGCCTCACCCCACCCCTTTCTGAGGTCTGTGTGGAGGACACTAGAGATGGTCACCACAGACAACAGCATCTGGAGGAAACTTTGATTCACTGAAGTCACTGGATAACTGAAAATCCAGCTGCTGTAACATTGCCAAAATGAAACAAAGACAGATCATTTGAAAGCGGACACAGTGTAGAGAGACACCAGTGACATATCAAAAGCAGCAAATAGTTTTTGAGTGAATGAGGTAATAGGTGAGAGCAGCGTTAAGACTCTTGTATACTCTCCCCTTTCCCCCCAAGTCAATCCCTTCCATGTTAGTGATTTCATTCCTAACATGAGGCTCCCCTGGTCACGTGTTTGCTACTTGGCTCTGTTCTATGGTGTCTCGGTTCTCTCTCTGTGTGACAGGCATACGTGGAGAGCAAAGATTCAGACTGATTCTAATTTACTCAGCCATCTTCTTACTGTCCCCGGTCTCTTTAAAATGATATTGTGCAACATTCTAGACAAGAAGCAATGATGCTGGACCCCAATGGTGAGAGGAACAGTATACCTCTTATCTCATAGAAATCATTTGCAGTTGATTGGTTATAGAACTTGCCTCCACCTCAAAAAGCTTACTAGCTTTCATATTGTAGAGCTAGATCTGGCCCCCAAAGCTATTTTACTTCCATTCTGCCATGGTGACTGCCCCTCTGTTCTTTTAAAAGTGAAATAGCTAAGAGGGCTCAACCTGGGCTCAGTCGGTTGAGCATCTTACTCTTGATATCCTCTCAGGTCATGATCTCATGGTGGTGAGACCGAGCCCTATGTCAGGCTCTGTGCTGAGTGTGGAGCCTGCTTGGGATTCTCTCTTTCTCTCTCCCTGTGCCCCTCCCCCATCCGCTTGTGTGTGTGCATGAGTATGCGTGTGCAAGCATGCATGCTCTCTCGAAATAAATAAATAAACATTAAGCAAAAAGTGAAATAGCTAAAACATACCGAACATTTACTTTCTCAGACAATGTGGTAAATTCCTTACTGGCATTTATTTTGTTTAATCTCATGAATTAGGAATTGTTAGTAGTCTTCTATCGCCAAAGGGAAAACTAGGCTTAGGAAGGTTAATTAATTTGCCCAATTCAAACAAACAGTAATTATTGCAGTTAGAATTTGAATATAGACGTACATCACATCACAGCCTGAGCTTTCAACCACCATGCTGTTATATCCGTTCAACATTGTGCTACTCATTTTTTCTCTATCCAGTTAAATAACAGTACTAGATACCTATACAGGTTTTTGCTTTAACATCTAAGAAATGCCAATGATTTGAATCTGCTACAGATCCTTTGCAGAACAACAAGAAGTAACAGGATTTTGTAAGCAGCCTAAATTCAATGGGGCATCAACATAAAATGGTTTTATTTTTCCTGACAATCACTGTTTTGAATAATTCTCCATCAAGTCTTTCTTTTCTTTCTCTTAATGGCATCTCAGTAACTTTTAATTCCATTTCAATTCACCCATTCTTTTAACAAGTATTGATTAATACCTGCTATGTGCTACTCATTATTCTGGGTGCTGGGGAATATATCAGTGAACAATAATTAAACATCTGTTCCGTTCAGAATCAGTATCCAATTCAGATATCATCTCTTGTTCCTTCAGTACAAGAGGCCTGCCACAGCAGCTGGCTGAGAGCCCCTTCTCTTTTATTATTCTCCCATCCCAGCATCTTGAGGGGCTCAGGGAAAAGAGCATGTGTGGGCTCTGAACACCTCCTCCCCCTTCTTATCAAGGCCTATTTCTTCAAATGTGTTGGAAACAAAAAGGAAGGGTATGGAAAAGGACAAACATGCCCTGTCCTTTCCTTTCCTTTCCCTTTCCCTTTCCCTTTCCCTTTCCCTTTCCCTTTTCCTTTCCTTTCCTTTCCTTTCCTTTCCTTTCCTTTCCTTTCCTTTCCTTTCCTTTCCTTTCCTTTCCTTTCCTTTCCTTTCCTTTCCTTTCCTTTCCTTTCCTTTCCTTTTCTTTCCTTTCCCCTTTCCTTCCTTTCCTTCCCTTTTCCCTTCCTTTCCCTTCCTTTCCCTTCCTTTCCCTTCCCTTCCCTTCTCCCTTCCCTTCCCTTCCCTTCTCCCTTCCCTGCCCTGCCCTGCCCTGCCCTGCCCTTCCCTTCCCTTCCCTTTTTTTAGAGAGCATATGAACAGGGGACAGGGGTAGAGGGAGAGGGAGAGAGAATCCTACGCAGGTTCCATGCCTAGTGCAGAGCCCAACACAGGGCTCTATCCCACGATCCTGGCATTATGACCTCAGTCAAAGTCAAGAATCAGACATTCGACCCACTCAGCCATCCATCCAGGCACCCCAAACATGTCTTTTATTAACTCTCCACTTTTTTAGGCCATTGAACCATCTGAGGCAGGAGCCCATATCTGGCTTTCTCATGGGGTATGTGTACAAGAGTTTAGAGGACTCTTTGGGTCCCTCTGTGGCATGACATGAGAGATCTGGCTCCAGTTCAGCCTTTTTCCCTTGCTCAGCTTCTGAGATCCTCCTCTGCAGTGGTAACTTGGCTTGGAAGCTCATGCCTTCTGGGGATACAGGCTCCTCCCCAAGCAACTCCCCCACCCCCCTTTCTATCTGATTCTCCTTTCCCATCCTCTTCACCTCTGCTTACATAAACATGTCTGTAACTGCTCAGGCTAAGTGAGAAATAGAATGCCAAACTCTCCTTCTTGAGGGCACCTCATGCTTTCAAGAGAGGGCAGTGTGCAAGAAGAAGAGGGGAGAGAAGCCACTGCATTACCCACTAGGCCAGACTATGGTTCTAGTGACTCTCCCTGATTCTCCCCATTGCAGCCTTCTGAAAAGGGGTGGCTGTGTTTGTGGGGCTGGCAGGGCTGATTCCGCCCCCTCTTAGGTTCTGAGGGATGTGGCAGTCCTCACACTATTTGGTGGCTTCATAATAATGTGGAACACTTAATTCCATTTCTTCTAGTGTTGGGGGCCCTGATCACCAATTCTGGGGCCAAGGAAAAGTTTTGCTCAACATCCTGTTATAAAGGCAAGAAATAAAGGGCTGAACAATGTCTTTATTATAAAATTCTTTGTGATCAGCTTTCTGTAATTATAATTATATATTTTGCATAATATGTAATGTAATATTAATCAAATAGCAGTTGTACTAGTAACTTCATCCTGCTCTCCCCCCACCCCACACTCCTGCCTAAATATCCTTGTTCACAATATCCTCAGTCACCCATAGAATTTAACCAAAATTCCTTAATTTGGCATTGACAGTGCTCCAATCCTTATTCTCTATTTAGATTCCCCTCTGCTCCCCCAGATCAGGACACTGGGGATCACTGAGTCCAGCTCATACATCTCTGCCTTTGGTCTGAATCTGTCTTCTTTCTGGAGTGCCCAGCCCTTCCCTTTTGTCTGACTCCTAGCTCTCCTTCAGTCCCATACTAAGCTGTCTCCACTGTACTTCTGGATTTCTTAACACTCACATTTCACCTTTGACCTAGGCTGTCCTCTCTTTCAGTATTCCCTTTTTCTTCCTCACTAACTTCTAACTTTCTCAAGGGCAGGAACTGCTTTTTTATCCTCTCTTGGTGTTATACTTGCTCAGTGTCTTTCATATTTGCTGATGGCAATAAAACAATTGCAGAAATAATTTCATGATTTAAAAATCTAACATATTAAGAGATAGTGAAAAATACGTGTTTGCTTATGCAAAATGTTTCAAATGAGGAAGATTTTCTACTTCCTGTCTGCACCCTCAGGTCTGTTAAATAATAGAGCCAGCCACATACTGCTTTAGACTTGCCACACTGAAATGCCTAATCAAAGTCTTAGAGCTGGAGGGAACTTCACAATTGCTGAGTCTACCTCTGTGCCCCAGAAGGTTCAGCAAATAACTTAGCATATAGAACTTTATTGTTGAACCGCTTGAGAGCAACTTACAGTATCATGTCCCTTTACCCCTAGATATTTCAGGACATTTTTTTATGTGATCTCTGTACCATTTTCAATTCAGGAACTTTAACACTGATAGAATATTATTATCTAATGCACAGTCCGGATTCAAATTTCACCAATTATCCATTAGAAAAGGCCTTTATAGCCTCTAGACTAATCCTTTAATCTGCAAGAATATTTCAGTCTTTCCTTTATGGCACTGACATTTTGGAGCATACAGGCCAGTTGGTTTTTACAATGTTCCCCACTTTGGGTTTATCTGATTGTTTCCTCATGATTGAATTCAAGTTATGCGGTTTTGTTAGGAGTACTAAATGCCTAATGATTGCATCCTTCTCAGTGCATCACATCAGGAGGCATGTAGTGTCAATCTGTCTCATTAAAAAAAATACTTTACTGAGGTATGATTGACATACAAAAAGCTGTACATATTTAATCACACAACTTGATCACCAAAATACATGCCATAAATATGTCTATCATTGCCAAATGCTCTTTCCTACTCTCTTTGTGTGTGTGTGTGTGTGTGTGTGTGTGTGTGTGTGTGTGTGTGTGTGAGAGAGAGAGAGAGAGAGAGAGGGAGGGAGTTAAGAACACTTACCATAAGATCTACCCTCTTAGCAAATTCTTAAGTATATGTCATTTAATTTAGAAATGGGGAATGGTCTGGGAACAGCAAATGCTGAGACCAGTTAGGTGATTCAGAGAATCCAGAATCTGGATAAATTGAAACCCTACTTGCAATGTGACTCCAAAGTGGCTCTCTCAGTCCCGTGCTGTACCTCTTGTGCCAGAATATGTGAGCTAGGAGAAGCAGTGTGATCAGCCTTGGATCCCTTCCCTCCTGTACTCTCAGGGTCCTTGTCCATCACTTCTGTCATCCTCCTCTGCCTTCCTCGCCCCTCTCTCCCCTGTTCCTCAGGCACATCGGATGGAAAAGCTTCCAGCATTTCATGGCACAGTAGAAAAGGAACTGGAGTAAGAGGCAGTGCAGATTCTGTTCCCATCTTTACTGATGGTGGGATCCCACCAGTCACCAAGTCTTCTGGACTCAGTTTTCCCATCGACAAAGGGAAAGACAAAATTAGGTGATCACATTAATGTGCCCTGCTTCCATATATGACCATATGTGATCATTCACCTAGGTATCCTCATAACCATCACATTGTATGGTGTGAAGTAAAAACATATTTGTCTTTCTTATTTTGAAAGGTTATAGCCCAGCAAGTATCAGATAAACACTTGGAAGAGGGCCGGCTTTATCCTCCTTTGGACACCATTAGAGATGTTTCTCTGAAAATTGCAGCAAAGGTAAAACCACTCTTTTTCAAGTCTTATTATTTTTAATTCCTTCTATTGCTAAATATGCATTTTTAGCCACTAAAAATCACTTCACTTCCTTGAAATGTATATCTGTATCATCTTATTTTGTCAGAAGTCAGAGAAATGAGACACAGTGCTTTAGCAGAGCTTAGGAACTACACTTCATCCCTAGGAATGGAAGAATTGGGGTGAATCATTGATTTCCCTATCATTCTTTATCTGTCCCATAATCTAAATAAGTTAGTAGGATTCCCTTTCAGTTAGGCTTCTCCTATTTCACCTTTTTTAACTTATTGTGTTCCATATTTCACTTGTGTTGTCACCAAAATATTGCAGATACGGTATAGTAACATTTAGAATCATTTGAATCACTTGTCTTATCTATGTTTCTATGATGTATAGCATCTTAAAGATCACAATTGATAATATTGGGCAGAGGGCTAAACAATGAGGGCAAGGAACTCAAAGCTGTTGGGGTGGCAGATGAGCTAATGAAACAATTAGCCAAGAAGAACCTAAAGACAGAATTTTTCTGTAATTAAGATGAGAGAGAAATTGACTTTTTTTTACAATATAATTATATTAGCCTCTTAGGGCTGCTGTAACAAAATACCACAGACTGGGTGGCTCAAACAACAGAAATCTATTTCTCACAGTTCTGGGGGCTGGAAATCTAAGATTAAGGGGTAGAAGGCCTGATTTCCTTGGAGGGCTCCCTGCTTAGCTTGTAGATGACTGCTTTCTCACTGTGTCCTCACATGGTCTTTTCTTTGTGCACAAACATCCTTGGCTCTCCTGGGGTGTCCAAATTTGCCCTTCTCATAAGAACACTAGTCAGTTTGGATTAGGGCCCACCCAAACAGCCTCATTTTTAACTTAATTACTTCTTTAAAGTCCCTGTCTCCAAACATTATCACACTCTGAGGTACTGGGGGTTAGTTAGTGCATATGAATTTTGGGTGACATAGGTCAGCCCATAATGGTTATGTTTATATGGTACAGGTGTAAACTAGGGTTTCTCAGCCGCAGCACTGTGCACATATTGGCTGGATAACTCTTGGTTGTGGGGGTTATCTTGGCATTATAGAATGCTAAGCATACCTGGCCTCTACCCACCAGATGTCAGCAGCCTCTGCCCAGTTATGACAACCGAAAATGTCTCCAGACATTGCGAAGTATCCCCTGAGGGGAAATATTGTTTTTTGGTTGAAAATAAAGACTATTAGCAAATTTATCAAAACGGTACCATATTTAGGATTCATGTATCATTATATGCCTTATTGATTGAGGGCATATGCTTCAAAACCCAAGTAATCCTTCAAAAAAACTTTAGATAATCTGCTTGATTACCTATTCATGAAAGAGTATCTTTTTATCTTCTACTATTTTATATCTCCTAGTTTTTAACTAATTTGAATTGTTAATACACCAAACAGCACATTATTATGTTAAATTCATTGTGAAGATTTAAACGAAAAGGTGTTGGGGCGCCTGGGCGCCTGGTGTCGGTTAAGCATCCGACTTCAGCTCAGGTCATGATCTCAAGGTTCGTGAGTTCAAGTCCCACATTGGGCTTTGTGCTGACAGCTCAGAGCCTGGAGCCTGCTTTGGATTCTGCATCTCGCTGTCTCTCCGCCCCTCCCCTGCTCTCACTCTGTCTTTCTCTCTCTCAAAAATAAACATAAATGAAAAGGTGTTAGCTTATGATTAGAGGAGAAAGTACAAAAGCAGAGGACCTCAGGGAAGTTCATAAAGACTCGGATATTCTACCTAGAATCATGGGAAAATCAAGTGCTGAGACAGAAACTGGGAAATCAGAACAAAGAATCAAGTTGAGGGAGGAAGATAGTGTAAGTGACCTGCAAGTTTGAAGTTTCAGGGCACATTCACATAGAATTCATACAACTCCAGCAAGTTGATAGAAATGGTTGAAACTTAAAGAGACACTAAATATAAAGATGTGGGAACTATTTTCCATGTGGTAATGGGGGAAATGCCAGGAGTTTTTGGAGCTACCAGGACAGCAAGTATAGCAGGTGAGAACTAAGGATGGAACATGGTTTGTTACTCTGTCCAGAACACAGAGGTAAGAAGCCAATGAAAGGAAGTTAGGACTTTAAGATGAGACTCAGAACTGAGCAACATGTCAGAAATTAGACAAGACACAGTGTCAGGATGGGGGTGGAAGAGCGATATCCTGGTGAGAAAAACAGGTGAACTTTTAGTATGTACAGAGTTAGCAGGACCTTTTACAAAAGCAATTTCAGTAGCACAGAAGTTACTGGGGAGAATTAGGAAAGCAACAGAGAACAAACTGCTCTTGCAGACTCTAGCACTGAGGGTGGAGGCTTCATTGGGGGGGGGGGGGTCACTGATACAGCGAGTGTGTCCTGGGACCAGAAAGAGGAGTGAACTTTCACACAGTCTGTGTCAGGAATGAAATAATGTGTTTTGTTATAAAAGTAGTACAACTATTGCAAACAGGCACAAGGGGTCTCTGGGGTGATGGAAATGTTCTAAAAGTGGATTCGGTAACAGTTGCACAACTCTGCGAATTGACAAAAATAATTTCATTGTGCACTTAAAATGTTGGGATTTTGCAATCAGTCAGTTATACCTCAAAAAAGCTGTTAACTAGTAATAATACATTATAGGCACTTTGGGAAATACAGAAGAAACTATCCAATACTCTATTTTTCTAACATAAGCAGTTTTATTATTTTGGTGTGTTTGCCTCCAGTCTTTTTTTCATTTGCCTGCTGTCTTTGCTAATATTGTCATAATCACGGTATATACATTTGTTCTGTGTGTTTTTCATGAATATTTCTCCATAATATGGCACAGTCTTTGTAACCATAATTTTTCACAATGCGTAATTTTTCATTGAGAAGAAATACTTAATCATTCCAATCTTCTTCAAAATCAGACTTATCCAAATAACTCTATTATACAGATAGCTCCTAGCAATTGCTTTTTTTTACAACTGGAGTGAATTAAAGAGTACGTATAGAGTGATTAATTTTGACAAGTGGGAGAATCCATTCTTCTCAAATAAGGGGAGAGCGAATGTTTGAAGATGTAGAGGAGTTCACTTGAGTTGATGGAAGGGGAAATTGAGACTGTTTTCGCTGAGTAGCTGGAATGTTCTCAGTACAGTGATGAGTCAAATGCAGTTACGACAGAGGAAGGTTTGAAATTGCCTTGTGGGAACTGGGAGACAAAGGGTGTTTGTTTGTTAAAGAAAAGGATAAAAACATAATATGCAACCACATCAACCCAGGTAAGGTTAGGAAAAGTATGACATCGCTGGAGGCAGCCATGAAAGGGGAAAGCCAGCACTGAGGGTTGCCCAGACCAGGAACTAGAATGGGGAGTGTGACAGCAAGACAGGGAGACAGGAGATTCTGTGATACTGGGGAGGGGCATTATAACTGACTGTGGAGTCCAGCGGATTAGGTGAACAGGGATAAATAAGGAAATTTTGTAGGAGGCTGTGGTCAGGACAGGGATTGTGGATACCGCATGCTATCTGAGTTCAAACTTAGCAGGAATACTAAGGTATTTAGTTCAAGTTAGTTACCGTTCAGGTCATGTCAAAACTTTCACCACTGGATTATCTGTGAAATCCTGTTATGATCACACTTTTGATAAATCTCTGTTCTTCACACTTTCCGTTGTTGGCGATGTCCTGTTCTCCTCCTGCTATGTGATTTATAATTGCATTTTCCTTTTCTATCTTCTTTGTGTATGTGTGCTTTTATTATAATGTAACTTAATTTTTTGTAAACAGCCAAGACATAAATTAATTTTTTGAAACAGATGAAAACTGACATGTGCTCACCATCAACTCTATTCATTAAAATAATTAATATTCTTTTTTTATTCCTAGATTGTGAAAGATGCTTACCAAGAAAAGACAGCCACAGTTTATCCTGAACCCCAAAACAAGGAAGCATTTGTCCGCTCTCAGATGTATAGCACTGATTATGACCAGATTCTACCTGATTGTTATTCTTGGCCTGAAGAGGCCCAGAAAATACAGACCAAACTTGACCAGTAGCATAATTACTGACATTTCTAATTCCATTAATGAGATCTTAAAGTCTCTCATAATTTTTAAAGATTGGAATCTTTTCTAATTACTCGTAATATTCTAGACTAGGATAATTTTACTTTAACTATAAAAATTCATGGAAGAATATTAATATACTTTGGGGTAAACATCACACTAGACGATTTTGCTTCATTTACTTTCTCATTATTTATGGTTTCTCTCTTAATTATTTTGCCCAAGTTCTCTTAAAAAGCTATTGTACCTACTACTGAGAAACACACCATTTTTATATAGGGAACTAATGGAAAGACCAAAATTAGTAACAAATTGATATGCCCAACATTAAAATCCATAATTATTTTGTTGACCATTTTGTTAAAAATCTACTCTTTTTTCTTTTTAATAAAGATAGAAATGAATTTAGGCATAGATGAATTTTTGCTAAAAGCAGAAACAACACTTACTTCATTGCCTAGAGAAAAATAACTTCTCAGGTATTTTTATTCCAGTCCTACATTATATTAGTTCTTCTAGTGCAACTGAACGCTAACATTTCTAAGAAAGATCATTGCTGTTTACAATGCCTTGTGCAGCCTTAGATTTTAATATTCTTTCCCCATTGTTACATCTTCTTATCATTTTGATTCTCAGTCAGATCTCTCTTCTAGAAGCACTTTTCTTCCTCCCCTGACTGAATGCCCTATCCTTCACACTATTGCTGCTGAACATTTGCAGACTGTGGTGCCTGTCCAGAAGTTGGTACCTTCATTTCAGCATAGCCTGAGCCACAGAAAGAGCTGAAAGAGAGTAGGTAATATCCTTGAGAAAGGGCTGCCTGTGGAGCTGACCTCTTAGGACAAAGATCTCTGGTGTCAGGGGCAAGAGTGTGGTTCCCAGACAAGCTGGGTTCTCACTTAAGTGACCTGCCCTCTTGTTTCCTTGATTAGCTCAGGTAATTAGAGCTCACTGTGTTACAATAAACTCACTTTACTCTGAGTATGGAGGAAATTTTGTAACCCAATTCTCCAGTATCAGAAACTATCTTTACATCAGGTATTAAGATATTCTAATTACCATCAGTACTTATAGCCCAGAAATTGTTAACTTCAAGTTTTACTTTAGAAATTAATAACTGAACCAATGGAAACCATTTTAAATTCTTAAGCTCAGGTGCAATAACATTTGCTATTTATTTGTAGAATTATTTGGAGAATTTCTGTTCTTGAAATAATGCTTTTAAAAAGTAGAAGAAGATGTTCAAGATAAACTATACTGTACAATGACTTTATTGAAGGTTGAAGATTATACAGATAGTTTCAGGTGTGAATAGACAGGGTGCGGTTATTTCTGAAAGTAACATTTAGTCAAGAGTTTCCTCAATATAGTCACTTTGAAAAGATCCAGAATGCTTATTTCTTGTCTGTTTCCATGTTGTCTTGCAACTCTAACTAAATGTATTTACCTATGCAAAAGATTTATTAAAGTGTAGAAAAAGTGAATGAATAAAATTATGATTGTCTTTTTCTCTTAAAAAATTGTTACATTTTAAAATGATAATGCTGGGCCTTGGCAGTCATGTGACAGTATATGAATTTTAAAAATATTCTCATAGCTAATTTCAATATGAACTTCATTTAATACATGTGTAGTCATATTTGCTCTATACTATAATAAATGAGCGACTTCCTTATCCTCGGAGAAAGATAATAAAACAAGCATTGGATGATTACTTACTAGGTTTCAAGTATTCTGTATAGATTAATTAATGTAGTCCTCACAAGTTCCTATGAAGTAGGTATTTTAAGTGGCTTACCAAGTCCACAGAGCTAATAAGTCAAGGAGGTGGGCTCTAAATCCGTGTTTATCTTGCTTCATACTCTGCTCTCTTTTTGCTAGAGTGCAGTCTAGAATACCACTGTACAATAGACAAAGGAAGTGAGCCACCTATGTAATTTCTAGTGGCCTCATATAAAGAAAATATAGGTGGAATCCATGTTAATTTTATTTAAACTGACATCTCCAGATTATCGTTTCAATATGTAATCCATATAAAAATATTAATGAAACGCTTTATCTTATACTAACCTCCAAAATCTAGATATTTTCATATGTATCCAAGTCATGGAAACTCACAGACCCCCTGAATATATGAATTACAAAGATAGCACAAAAATCAACAGATAAAAAGAATAAGGTGTTTAGTAAAAGGATTGGGAAAGCTGACCTACTATGTGGAGAAAATTAAAACTAGAATCCTACCTTACATCATTTAAAAAAGGGGAGCTTAGATGGCTTAAAGACCTAAATATAAATTGTAAAAATATAATGTCAATAAAAATTAATATAGCAAAGTATCTTTGGGACCTCAAGAACCCAAACAGGAGGTAAAAAATGGATGGAACGCATTATCTAAGGATGGGGAGGTTTGGGCTGACAAATGGCTCCTGCCATAAAACACTGTAAAGGGCAAAGAAATCCAGGAACTGTGGGATAGGATGGTTGCTTCTACAGAGATGGGTTCATAAAGAAAGAGATCATTGAGGCTCAAAGGATTAAATTCTCAGCTCAAGGCAATGCTTAGGTTGTTGCCAAAAGAATCTTTTCTGTCTTACTAGCTTTAAGGCTGAAATAACTGAAAACAAGGTCATACTTAATCCTACTCGTTGCCAACTTATACGAGGAGTTGCACTCACAGCTTCACCAGACCTTGTACTTAAGAGTATTGATCAGAAACAGTAGGACCTTGATTTGGAATGGGGATCTATGGGTAGGGGGATTTGGAAGACATGTGATACCCTAAGCTACTGTGAACAATAACCCAGGTTTGAATACTGTAAGTTCTGTGTCCCAGGAAACCCCTCAACCCCTAGGCAAACTGTAAGAATTGACTTGTCCTCCCTTGCTAATCAACGTGGGAGCTCTTCCTGCCTAACAAGGTTATTACTGCCTTGCTTGAAGATTTTGTGATCGCCTCAGTTTACCTTCTGCTCTTCCCACATTACTTCTCATGACCTGCACATTCTTAATATCAGATTCCAGAGAGGAGCTGTGTTGGATACAGTAGAAAGGGAAACCCAGGAGAAGAAGACTCCCACCAAAAGAATTCTTGACTTTGCTTATTTATATTGGCAAAACCCCAAGAGAAAATATGGGATTCTGAAAATGTACTGAGAAAGGAGAAGTGCGCTTTTGGATTGGATAAGAATTGACTGATAGGGATGTACCTGCCACAGATTTTGGATTTGGTGTGCTGCCTTGAGCAGCTGAAAGTCATTCTACTTGGTTCGGTTAGTTGACTGAAATATGGACTTAATGATGAAATTAAATGAAACTGAGAATGCAAATATTTCCTGAAATAATATAAAGGAATTCAAAGATTTCAATGATAGGAATGTTGGAGTGGATTTGTCATGTGCAACCAGACCATCTTTATCCTAGTGATCTCCTAAGTCTCCCAAGAAGACCTTGTTACTGACCCCCCTTTCACTAAAACCTTGAGAAATACATTGGTAATGGGAATAGCAGCATCCATGAAAAGCATTTTTTTTAAGTTGGGGTGTAATTAACATTATATTAGCTTCACATATACAGCATGATTAGATATTTACATACATTTGGAAATAATCACAATAAGTCTAACATCCATCACCAAATTTTGTTCTTGTGATGAGAACTTTTAAAATTTACTCTCAGCAACTTCCAAGTATGCAATAGAGTATTATTAAGTATAGTCACCATGCTTGTACATAACATCCCCTTTTATGTAGACTCCGCATATAAGAGAGATCACACGGTATTTGTTTTTCTCTGACTTATTTCACTTAGCATAATGCCCACAAGGTCCATCCATGTTGTCACAAATGGCAAGCTTTTATTTTTTTTATGACTGGACTATGTATACACACACATATTACATTTTCTTTTTTATCCATTCACCTGCTATTGCACACTTAGCTTATTTCCATGTCTTGGCTATTGAAAATAATGTTGCAACAAACATGGATGTGCAGATATCTTTTCAAATCAGCATTTTCATTTTTTTTGGGTAAATACCCAAAACTGAAATTACTGGATCATATGATATTTATATTTTTAATTTTTTGAGCAATCTCCATACAGTTTTCCATAGTAGTTTTACCAATTTACCTTCCTACCAAGAGTCCCGAAGTGTTCCCTTTTCTCCACATTCTCATCAACACATTTCTTTTTGATAACAGCCATTCTACCAGGCGTGATGTAATATCTCACAGTGGTTTTCATTTGCGTTTCTTTGATGATTAATGATGAACATCTTTTCATGTGTCTGTTTGCCATCTGTATGTCTTTGTAAAAATGCCTATTCGAATCCTCTGCCTATGTTTTAGTTGGATTTTTTTCTATTGAGTTTTATGAGTTCTTTATATATTTTGGACATTAACCTCTTATCAAATATATGATTTGCAAATATTTCCTCCCATTCAGTAGGTTGCTTTTTCTTTAAAAAAATTTTTTTAATGTTTACTTATTTTTGAAAGACAGAGAGTGGGGGAGGGGCATAGAGAGGGAGACAGAATTTGAAGCAGGCTGCAGGCTCTGGGCTGTCAGCACACAGCCCGAGTTGGGGCTCAAACCCATGAACTGTGAGATCATGACCTGAGCCGAAGTCTGATGCTTAACCAACTGAGCCACCCAGGCACCCCAAGTTGCTTTTCATTTTGTTGGTTTCTTTGTGTGGAAGCTTTTCAGTTTTGATGTAGTCTCAGTTGCTTATTTTTACTTTTTTTGCCTTTGCTTCTGGTGTCATATACAAAATTTCATCACTGAAACAGACATCAAGATGCTTACCGCCTATACTTTCTCTTACAAATTTTATGGTTTCAGGTTTTTCATTCACATCTTTAATCCATTTTGAGTTGGTTTTTGTGAATGGTATAAGATAGGCACCGAGTTTCATTCTTTTGCATGTGGCTTTCCAGTTTTTCCAACATTGATATTGAAAGACTGTTCTTTCCCTATTGTATATTCTT